TGCTAGTTGCACTAACCGGCCCTGCTTCACAGGGAAGCGGTTTGCAACATAAGTTGCCCCCCATGAAAGTTCCTTTCACTAGGGGGACTCCTTGTGTTTGGTTGGTGAACTCTTAGAATTCACCTAGACTTGGTTTGGTGGTTTCGAGGTTAGGGGCTGGTTTTCGATTTACCAGAACGGCACAAATGCAACTTGCTCGACTCTACCAAGCAGGGCCCTGCAAAGGCTCTTAGACCCCAGAAGTTGCAGATGTCATAAACATCGAGCCCAGCAATTCCCACAAGAATGTCAACCGATGGAAACGAAGGGTCAAAGCTTCCTGCACCTGGGTCCCGCTTCATCCGAGTAAGGCACCCAAAGACGGCCACCCCGAAATTCATTGGCCTGTAGGCTTATTTGCAGGTGACGAGGCTCCGCACGAACAAACAAACTAGCGAGCAAACACATCATGAATTATACAAACTAAGTGCCCCTTGTAGCTAACATGTGTCCTCTTGGCTGTCCTTTGCGCCACAAAATCGCCTTCGATTTGTGCAAAGCTATGCTGCGCGTGTTTTGGGAACCCTTCTGCAGGTTCCCTCAAAGCCCATGAAACAACCAAATCACACCACAACAGAAATGTGCATGGTCAAAGACCCGGAATTGCATGCGGGTCACTTGGGATGGTCATGAGTTGTTCAACGTGCGGTGGGCCGGTATAAGGATTCCTTTTAAGACAGCCTTGGCAACATGACTCACTGGCGCAGTATTGATACACAGGTGCCGCGGTCAAGAAATCCTTTTACTTGGAGTTAACAGGGATGGCCATCCACCTGGTAGTAAACATCCTTAATATCCATTTCAATGATGTCTATTGAGTGAACTATAACCATAGGAGTTTTGAACGTGGAACACATGGGATCACAGATTCCGGCTTTGACCTCTGTCGAACGCGAGGTACTTCACTCCCGAAGTCAAAGTTCTGAACACGACCTTCGACCGGCGCTCAGCCGACTTGCCAACCTTTGCACGATGGCCCCCAGTAAAGTATGTGTTTGTCATGGATCTCAGAGGCTAAGGAATGATGAAGGAGAAATAGGTTGGTGAAGGACAGACAAGTGAGTGCCCAAGAAAAAGAGCTTCATCCTTCCAACCCTCCTCCATTCCTTATCTCATCCTTGTCATGCCTTTGCGTCCCTTCCGTAATGGCGAGTCTTAGGAATGGAATGACATAGGAAAGAAAGGAATGGGGTCTGATGGAGAGAGACATCAGAAGGAGATGTGGCAGAGATAGAGCATGATAAGAGAATGAGTGCTCACTCTCCCTTTCATCTCTTGAATATCATGTCCTGTCGTATCCATTCCTTTCACTCATTTTTTGTTATTTCAATTTGATAATTGGGATAGGTAAGGAATGGGATTGGGAAAGGCATAGTTCACTCATCCCTTCTCCATCCCTCTCCTCTCTTCTCATGTCCTAGATCGGCATGAGTTTATATGAAAGGGTGTCTCTTGCTTCTTTTGAGGGTGCCCATTCTGTATGGTGTTCTTTCGGGAAACCAAAAGGCAGCAACATGCAGCCGTACAAATGTTGGGTGCAAAAAATGAAAGCTATGTTGACACAAACCCGTTGGTTCCAACCATAGGTGTCCTTGTTGGTTGATTCGGTGGAAAAATAGATGGCGATTCTGGCGATTCCTGGTTTACCTGGTGGTTTAATCATCTACCAGGGCCATCTATTTGCCCGAAAAGGACACCTATGGTTCCAACCCTTCAGGGACATTTCTGGCAGGAAGCAGCATGGAATGGAATCGAGCGCGGTCCGCAGAGGTCTCTGTGAGTCAGTCAGTTTGCATTGCGATGTTTCGTATTCCTGGTTTTTCAGTGAGCAGATGAGCAGACGGATGAATCCCATTTTAAGCAAACCCATCAGACCAATAACTTGTTCCTGAGAGAAGGCCACTTGGCTATGTTTATGGTTGGTTTCGGAAGGACTTGACGGGCCGCATCAAGAACCAACCGCCCAACTTTCCCTTTTCCTTTTGGGGAAGACTGACGGTTGGGTTGACCTCGAGCTGTTTGACCTTTCAGAAGTCCCACCGATCTATAGGGTCAACCTTTTTCAAGGTTGGTTGGTTGGTAAACCTGTTGGTTCAGTTTAGCTACCACCCATGATTTTGTTTCAAGGGGTCAAAGAGCTCCGAGCATGAGATGAGCTTGCCCCTCGAAGGCCGAAGGTTGAATTACCAGTCCAATTGGGAACCGCAAGCCGGAAGGCTTCCCGAATTTCGTTCAGGCTCCCGAATCAGAAAAAAAAAAACAAAAAACGACCCCCAGAAGCATCCCCAAGGCCAAGTACAAGATGATGGCTTGCCTTTGAGCTGCTGACAAATTGTGTTCAATTCATCCGAACAGAAACCAATGTCTGCAGCTCAGTGGATATCTATTCAATGTCTGCAGCTCGCAGTTTTGCCAGTCATGTCGATGCATGTGTTGTTTCTTTCGTAAGAGGTCCATGAAGCTGATTAAGTGACTGGGGCACAGTGAAGCCTATCAACACCTTTACTACCACTCACTCCCTGAGTTTCTGGACTCAATACTTTTGCGGTTTGGACTCGACCATTCTGGTGGCCATTCTACTCGATCAGAAGTGAGACCATGTTACTAGAACCAGAAATAAATACTCCATTTGCTGAACTGACAATTTGTTGTTCCCCCTTGTTGGTTTTCAAGGAATTCGATTTCACTACTGGACAATAAATACATGTTCGCGTTTTGTTTTGCAGGCATCAAACACAGAAGGTGCAACATTGGCAAGTGTCATCTACGATTGTGTATCGTTCGCCACGCTCACGAACAAGTTGTTTTTCCCCCCGTGGGGTTTGCGCACATCAATCTCCAACGGAAATGGGTGTGGCCAAATTTAAGCAGTAGGGGTTACGCAGGTTTTGGTCCATGTTTCCACTTCCCAGGGTTCCATCTTGGTACCGGAATTTCGAGCCACAGCCAAATGGAAGCCGTTTGGGTGGGCACTTTGAACTCAGGACGCCAGCAAGCCAGTGCTGGTGGTGGGCACAGGGCCGAGCGGTCTCTCCGCCGCCTGGATGCTGGCGAAAAGTGGGCGACAGGCCGTGCGGGCGAGAACCGCGGTGACCCGTGGTCAGGGTGGATGCCCACCTAGGTCCCCAAGTAGTGCCCTTTCAACCCCTTTTTTTTGGGGGGTGAAGTGCTTTAATTATCCGCTTGTTGCTGTGAATAGAGGAAGCTCTTTCTCGGTATTCCCAACCAGCACCCTCAGAAGCTCATTGTTGCAACCAGCTTCAGCCCTTAGGATGCTTTGTGAACTGTGCTGATTTTGTCTGGTAGAAGTGTCAGCGGACATGGTCATGACGACCAGATATATTTTTTACTAGTGGCGCCTGAAGCAAATGGACGTTATGGGAGAGAGAGAGAATGCCAGCGTTGGATTGATTCTGTGGACCGCATCCGAGATGGCGTTACTTTGCCACAAAGATGCAAGATGCTGGGTTTTAGTCCTGATATGTTTTCTCGAACACCAACAAGGACAATCACGCACCATATATTTGTACTTAGTCTCTGTGTGTATATGTATGTGGTCGGTTCTATGTTCAATTGTCGATGTACCGATTTGCCCCCTCCCCGAGTTTCTGCAACCACTCAACCACTGTGTTAGTCACTTCTCCTCCCATTGTTTGGGGTTCATTGAGTTTCACTGACATCAGTATTGAATGACACATGAGAGGGATTCCACTTTGACATGAAGCTGAAACGGAGGTTGGAAACCTACCTGCGCGTGGCTTGTGTAGGGTGAGTACTCCCCACCAACCCCGTTACAACCCTCGCCAAGTGTCGTTCAAACATCCCCCAGCGAGGATCTTTTCCCGGTAGCCCGGTAACCCCAATTTTTTTGTCTAAGACCCCGAGATTTGTTTGGAAGAGCCCAATGGGTTGGAAACGGCTGAGGGAGTCGGGGAATTGGGAGACCAGGATGCCCAAGCTGAGGTGGGGAATCTTTGTTGACTTAGGTTTGTCTCAGAATAGGGATGGACCCTCATCTTTTTGGAGGTTTTCTTGAAACCGAGCCAGAAAGTAGAGAGGCCTTCCTGGGTTCACGTACATTATCCAGGGGAGTCCCCTACTTCGCAGGACGGGTGAAACAAGTCGTTAAGAAACCGAGCAACGGTCAGTGAATAGTCACTCTGTGGCAGTCAAGGGATAGCCTTTTTTTAGGTTCCAGCACCTCAGAGATGTTTGGATACAAGAATGGTATCAGGGAATCAAAACCGGAGTTGGATGGGTTGAGGAGTTGTCTCAAACGGCATACCCCCAAATGGCGGAAACCTCCTTGGTTTCTCTTCAGAGAGACGCCCACATGCCCCGAGCCTCGCAGGTGTTGCTACTTGAGGCCGAGAGTGAGATCGGTGGGCACTCCAAAACATGGGTGGAACCCACCGACAAAGGCTGGGGCCCGGCCATGTCGTTGCTTGGGTTGTTGGAAGTGGATGACACGCAGCTTACGGGCAATGAAGATCCCAGCGATGATGTCCCAGTTCAGGATTTCGAGTAATTTTTGCAAGATGGTTTTCACTGAACCATTGGTTTGTGGCAACGTCTTGAAGTGCCAATGAGAGCCTGCCTGAGGGCCAGCACCCGAAGGTTCAGCCAATGGAGCCTACCGGAGCAAGAGGGCGAGGGGCATCCGTTCCATCCTGGGTTTGTCTTCGAGGGACGCTAGAAGCTAAGCCGTCTTGGGGCCACATCCCAATCGGCTGGGCTTGAGGGGTGGCAGACACTTCAACCGGTGGGCGGGCTTCGACCATTGGGGGATCCCTTCAATCCCACGTAGGGTTGAATCCCGCAGGTGTGAAAAAAAAGGCTTCCCCTGAGCCAACTGGGGATCTTTTGGGTTGACACCCCCCTTTCTTTTGGGTAACGACCCATTTTTTTAGGGTCATGGAGACTCTAGGTAGATGAATCTCCTTTTGGGGGACGCCCTTTTCGGGTTCCATCTCAATTGGCTTGCAGGCAGATCAAACCGAAAGGGTTCTAGCTATGGGCTCTCTGGCCCTGGGCTTTGTTGGAAACAACAAGTCAAGCTCCAATTTGTTGGGCCAACTCGACTGTCCGAGATATTTTTGAGCGATAGCGAATCTCAGAAGTTACCCTCAAAAATGAACACAAGGAACCAGCACAGTGGTTGTTGTATTTGTATTTGTTTCGTTGTTTAGATTTCTATCCTCCAAGGGTAAACCCCTTTTCTGCAAGTTCAGGTACCCGAAGGCAAGTTGCCCACAAGGAATCGGCTTGTTTCTCCAGGCGATTTTCACATGGACATTGGCTTCATTTTTAATAATGCGCCTTGGCAAAAACCACTTGCTGGTTCTCACTACCTGGCCGGTGACGAAAACAACGCGGGCACCTTGTGGCTTGGAATGCTCAACTACCCCAAGTGTCCTGAGAAACACGGACTCTGCAGCCACACAAAAGCTTTGCAAAGACCTCAGCGCTAAGATGTTTGGTAACTTGGCCGGCCTTATTTGGCCCCAAGTTTAGGGGTTCGAACAAGCGGGTTCCAGCTGATCGTGTCTAGCGTGCGAAAGGGGTGCAGCATCCAAACGGGGGGCACCAATCGAATTCGTCAGAATCAGTCGCTTATTCCGCTCCATTTGGGGAAACCTGAAGGACTCAGTTGCCCAAAGCTGACCTACCTTGTACTTGTGACTTTCCTGTTCTCGTCCATACTGAAGGTCACCCTTGGACCCTTAGGTGCTCTCTTTTGAGCAAGTGAGAGGGATGCATTCGCCGTTGTCGGTGCCGAGAGTTCTGACAACTCGCAACTTGCACGTTCAACGAAAAGGTTTCAGGGGAATCAATCGCTGCTGAAAATATGTCTCTGGTTCTTTTCCAGGGACTGAAGCAAATGGATGACAAGGCTCAATGTCTTTTGGAAAACAAACACGTAGATGTGCAACAAACCAGAAATCTGCCCTAGTTAAAGCCGAGCCACCTGCGGGTACAAGCTTAGCATGATGCAGGTTCTTTGCTTGGGGACTCTTTTCGCAGGTCTCGCAAGGTTCGCAGAAATCCTTTCTGCAAAAGGGGGTCGGGTCAGCTGAGCTTCGTGGACTAAACCCACAACACATGTCCTGTTAAAGGACGTCAGGCCCTACCAATGAGCCACCAAAACTCAGACAAGTTGATAGACAATACATGGTGATCCCTGGTTGAGCGTGTTTCACAATCGACCAGGGAATCCGAATCGATTTTTCCGAGAAGGACACCGATGCGCATGAACTCCATTTGTGGCTCCATTTTCCCTTTTTATGGAGAGTAGGCGGCCCCGAGTTCTTTTTTCTCCTAGGTTTGGCGGGCTGGGTCGTGAAAGGATTCCTGGTCGGTCGGTCTGTCTGTCGCTCGGTCGTCGGTGGGTTCGCTTTGGCGTTCGCGGCTTTTTGAGTGGTTTTGTGGCTTTGGCGGTTCCCACATCCTCAGCTAGCATCACTGTCAGGATAGTGTTTGCAACCCACCCTAAGCCAGCACCCTAAACCGACAAACTCATCCCTAAAAAAGTTCTGAGCCAACCCTATATTAACAGTAAACCCACCCGAAACCAATCCAAAACCCACCTTTAACCATCACTAAAGCATCCCTGAGCCAGCTTACGCCTACCGGAACCCCCCAAACCCGCCCCAAACCAGCCACCGCCCTAAACCCGTACTAAACCAGCGCTAAACTATCTCGAGACCACCCTAATCCAGCTCTAAACTCGCTACACCCAGCATGAACCGCAAACAATCCCCACCCATGCTAAAACACTAAAGAAGACCTACAGAAGCCCTAAACCCACCCTAAACCAACCCTGAGCCAACCCTAGCCAACCCGAAACGAACCCTAAGCACACCCTGAACCAAACCTAAACCCACCCTTTGCCACCCTAACCAACCCTACCCAACCCTACCCAACCCTACCCAACCCTAAGCCAACCCTAAACCAACCCTAAACCAACCCTAAACCATTCCTGACAAACCCTGAGGCAAACCTAAACCCACCCCAACCCCACCTCTATAAATGCTCAAAGTCAGAAAGGGTGTGCTTTCCTTTCAAGCTGTTACCTTGGGCGGTGACTTTGGCAAAAAATCCATGGCGGGGGGAGGGGGGGGACAACGCGCCCAGGTCCATTACTACAAATACCTCAACCTCACCAGTTACTTCGGCTACGAGACGAAGAACACCGCCTTGAACACCTCCGGGGCCTTCAATGGCAGCACCTTGCCCAGACGAACCCCGAAATGGGTGGCTTCCGTTTGGTTTCCTCGAAGCCTTAGAGGAATAACCCCATAAAGGTTGGCTTGTTTGCCCAGAAACAAACCGGATCCTTCTGGTTACGGGATGAGTTCACCGCCTTTTTGCTTTTGGTAACTTGTTGGGAGTCCGAAAAAGGAAGAATACCTGCCAAACATGGGGTGTTCCAAGATGATGTCCTTAGACCGCTTGTTCGCCAGTTGAGTTGAGGACAGTTTGTGATAGACCACTTGTCAGTTGCCTTTGTGTTGCTTTGTGTCAGTTCGCTGCGGGTGTTTGGTTGCCAATTCTGTTGCAAAGGAATCCCCTTGGAAGTGATTTCAATCAGTCATGAGAGTGGGAATCCCGCTGGGTATCACAGAAAGGGCTCAATTTCCACGAATACCGCTGGAGCAAACGGTTCCCTTAAGCAAAATGCGACCCAGGCGCCCGATTATTTATGAGTGCGTGCATGCAGGGTTTGTCTCGCTCGTCCTGGCATGGCCTGCCTTTTTGCTAATTTTACTTGCAAGAGGTGGCGCCCCTTGTCCTGCCCAGATATAGCATTTACCCTATCCAGAGGTACCTAGATTCGCGTATCCCCTAGAAGGGTGCCCTTTGAGGTCATAGCCATTTTCCCGTGGGTGAGGTTGCACCTTCCGTCGACGGTCGCTTGAAGAGCAGATAGATATCTCCAGTCAGGTTGTGCTAGGCAATCAACATGTCAACTCGCAAATAGCTGGTAATTGTTAGTTTGGGAAGAAGGCCGTCTTGGTGGATTCTTCGCAAAAGCTAAAATGTAGGTTGTTGAAGAGCCCGAAAGTGCCTAGGTTTGCAGTTTCTGTACGTAGCAAAGTTCAGCTCCATTTGTGCACCTCAAGTCCCTTTGAGCTCAGCCAAAATCCCAAATTCAGCCGAACTCCACACGAAAGCTCCACAAAAGCTCCCATTTCCCCGAACGCTGCTTGCCTCGCTGCTTTGTAAATCCAACCACAGGAGCAAAGAAAGAGTGTCGCAGCCTACTATGTGGCCTGCTTAAGCAAGCAATTTGTATTTTTGCCCAAGGCTGCAGAAGTCTGAGGAAGTTTGGCAGAAATCCGAGGATATTGGGACAATGTGCACTCAGAGCGAGGCATTTATGGCGAGGACAGCGGAGAGGGAGAATCGGTTTGGAGGTTTGCTCGCAATTCGGGAGTCTGGAGCCCCGTAGTTTTGACACACACACACACTCATATTTTCAGGTGAAAGTAAATGACACAGAGCCCCCACATGTTCGTTTCATCATCACACCATAGTTGTCGACAAGATCATGCCATCCACTTAGTTTCTACTTTGACCCTACATGGTACGATGGGGGCTATGGGTCTGCTTTGGGTTGATCCTCAGCCAGGAAGCGATTCGTTGCAAGGGCGCGTTTTGCCGTCCCATCAAATCTGAGGGCTGAGCGTAGGGTCTAGTTTAGACGACCTCATAGCAAGCACGGCCCCCCAAGTAGTGAAACCCTCCCAAAAAATAGGCGTAGAACCTGCGTAGGGGTCCCCTTTTAGAAGGAAAGCGGTCTTCCAGCATCCCCTGTTTCAATGTTCGTGTAGGGCCAGTGGTTTCCTTTTGTAGCTATGGAATTTTAACTTGCTTCAGGCACAGAGTTGGGACGGACAGCGCCTGGCAGTAAAACACGTGTGACCGGTTCTGAGGAAAGCCTATGAAAACTTGGGTAAACAACCTACCTGGTGCCGGCGTGACCTTTGGGGGTAAACCCCCTTTGCTTGGCTTTAAGAACTGTCACAAGGACACTCACCATGCCTTGCCCACAAGTGCCCCGACCCTCCTCATGTGCCCACAACCAGTTTTGCTTAGTTCAGCTTCCCACTTTTTGCACGTCCAAACATCTGAACTTGTTAAGCTGTTTGTTTAGCCTTGTTCCCACGTTCAACGTTCCCACGTGAAACTTCGATCGAACCAAAAACCCGAGGCTTTCTCCGCTCGAAGTTGAAGAACCCGCGGCGCCTGGCGCAAAGCGCCAGGACCTGGAGCGGGAGGTGGACCGATTTCTGGAGCTCGTGGAGGAGCCGGAGGACACCTTGAGGTCGGGCAAAGCGAGTTGGGTCGTTTTCGTGTTCGGGGTTGAAACGTGCGTCGTTTGAGATAAAACATGGGGAAGCCCCTTGTTTAAAGTGAGAGAGCTTCCCTTTGGGGTGATGTTTGAAGGGGATAAATATAGGGACACCTCTGTAATTGCTTGTTTCAACTTTGGTTTGGAGGTGGGCGCCTTGAAAGCGACAGAATTCGGGGTCCTTCCCCATACACTTTGAGCCAGGATGAACCAACCTCTGCTTAAATAGAAGGGTGTGCATCCTTCACTTTACCCCCCCCTCCCCCCACCCCGATTTCTCTGACAGGTTGATGAATTTGGGTCAACCCTACTCTAAAAGTCCAGATACTAAGGAACCGGCTACAGGAAGTTCTGCAGCTCGTTTTAGTGGATGTTTGGCCTTTTCCTATAGTTCCTCTAGCTGGTTCCTGCACAAGAAAAATCATATCAATGTAAGGGTGTGGCAAGATAGCTCGAATCACTTTTGAGGTTGCTTCCTTGAAGAAAACGGGAATAAGGAAGCAACCCCAAACTCAATCTTTCCTGGTGAAATTCTGGGGATGGCTAGGGTTGATTCCCAAATCCCCTCTTGACTCTTGACTCCCTGCTAAGGACCAGCAGGTTTAACAGGGCGCGCTTTTTTGAGCCACTGAGCAAGTCAGTTTGTTTGATCCATCGCCTTTCAACTGTGTAAAGCAAAACTCAAGCTTTAGGAGTTGGGAGACAGTTGGATATGTTTGGATGCAGCGGCGCCGTTTGAAGTTTTAGAAAGGGCTGTTTTCTGACGGTTCTACAAGCCTGGTGCGACATCGAAAGAGGATAGGATCGGCGTCCCTGAAGAAGCTTGTCTAAGGAGCTTTCCAATGACCTGCGCAGGTATACCATGGTATAGCTTTGGCCTTTGCTTCGCCTTGCAAACAGCCCCCAACAAGGCGTTCAAGCCTCAAGGCACAAACTCTGTGTCCGTTTGTGTTTGTTTACTGGCTGCTGCGTGTAGGTATTTGACTCCATTAGCCGCCTTCTTGTGGTGGCACGGATTCAGCGACGATTTCTACAGGCTGGGATTGAGCAACCTGGGCACGGGACAGCGGCCACGCAATAATCAGGGTCCGTACAATCAAGCAACCTGCCAATCCTTGAGGTCTTGTTTGGGCGGATGTTGCCCTTTGGGCTGTACTTAGCCTTAACCAGCTCTTTCTCATGGCGTCCTTGCAGTGGGGGTTGTTTGATTGCTATGTTGAGCCGTGGGCTGCGTCCCTTCGGGTTTAGTCGATTGGCTAGAAATCTGACTTCTTGCCGTTCCCAGCGCTTCCATATACGATACCACTACGGCAGGTAAACAAATAAACGGATTTACCATCATTGTTTCCCCTAGTTGCCTACTTTTTTGGTATGTGGCTGGAAGCTGGTTGCCAGAATTCAAGCTGGGCCAGCCCACATTTGGTTTTTTGGGAGCATTCCAAATAAGCCTGCGACAGGCGTGGGTGGGGCTGTTCTGGCGGCAAAAGGACCACACTGGTTGATCCGACAATTATATCAGAATAGTGGGTAGGAGGTGCCCACTCCAACATCGGGAGGCGTCTCCCTTATTGTTGTTACTCGAGTTGTCCAGATCGCAGTGACTGTTGGACCTGTTGGTTTTCCAAAGTCTACGTTCTGATTTCGGTCCTGTTCGTCAAAATTGGCTGTTTACCACTGACTAGCCACGCATCGTGAAACATGCAAAACAAAGACCATATGTGTCATTTTTTGCCGGTGCCATAAACAACGCTACTTGAAGCACAAGAACTGCTTCTGACCAGTAGGCCTTTGAGTTTAGCTCCATGGAGCTTGAAACTGGCGAGAAACTCACGGGCTCCGACCCGCAAGGGGAATCAGTTCGGGGAGGTTGAATCGATAAACCGAAAGAAACAAACAAAATCAATGGTCTGATTGTTTAAAGTTGCCCAGAAAGTCACTGAGATGTTTACGTGAAGCTAACGGGCCTACCTGGACCCTCGAAATTCCAACTTGAGAATAGGTTTTTGCAACCCAAGGTCATGGTTGATGAGTTTCCTTTGTTTCTAATTTAAGAGTCCAAGTGCATGCTGTAGAGGCATATGGCTGTGGGTCAAAACCAATGCTACCATATCGGGGGTTTTCGATGCACCCATTTTAGAACCTATTTTAGTGGTTGGATTGGGATGTTCTCTGGGGGTAACCGGGGTTTGGACCCATGGCCATAGAACTTTCCGTCGCTTTTGCCAGGCTATGCCTCACGTCGATCCTGCAGGTACTTTTCGTCGGCGCCCCAACGGTGGCCAGCATCTGATTCCAGCGCAGTTTGGTTTCTATCGGTTTGGTGGCCTTCGGATCGGTTTGGTGGAACATAGATGCCAAAGGGTTTGGTTGCAGGAACATCTACAGGAAATGGCCCCAGAACACCGTAAATAAGCTGTTTTCCCGCAGACTTTCCTGTAACCCAACCCTTTGAGATGGGTTCCACAGGTTGCAGGTCGCTTCGAAATTCATGTATTGATGCCATCGATGTTTCCAGTTGCGGACGCCCATGGTGCGCTTCTACTTTGTTGGGGGAAGGCTGATCACTGCCTCTCCGCCAACCGATTGGATTGACCCCATGTCGCTCTTATAGCGGCCTCATAGGGGCTTCAATGATTTTCTATGAGTGGCCGGAGAATCCCCTTTCAAAGTGAGAATTAGCGAATAGCGATGGACATTCTAGTTCATTTAGGTACAGAATCCCCGAACCCTCAACCAGCAGAAAAGGGTGTCCGTTTCTCCATTCTTACCCTGGCCACGGAGCACAGTTTCCATGTTTTCTGATGACGCAGTCTATTCAAGGGTGGCCCCCCACACCAGCTGCCAAAAAGTATCCTGCACTGCCCCTTGAATCTGTACTGGATTATCTCCCAAGTCACAATGTTTGAACCCCCCCTTCTTCCGGGTCGCCATGTTTGAACCTTGAGTTTCCTGCCGCTGGCAACCACAACCCTTTCCTCGCTTCAAGCATAGGAGCAAAGTTGTGTGCGTGAGTGTGTTTTCACCTCGGCTCCTTTTTCGAAAACTTACTAGTGGTCACAACACGCATCCCCAGCATTGCCTGCGCAGCCTGCATTTCGAGCACCCCGGCGAACCAGCAAAAAATCGACTGGTTGTATCCCCAGCATTCGGGCACCACACAATTTCTGCATCACCTGCATCATCCGCAACTGGCCCCAAGTTTCCGCTGGCTTCTCAACCCGTGAGACAAGCTCGCTTCTCAGCTTCCGAGCGCTCTCTACCGCTTCACCAGGGAATATCAGGAGTTCTTTCTCAGGAAAGGGAACCCGCAGTGCTAGTTGACCACAGCTGAGGTCACTAAGATGGGCGCGGCCAGGCAATCTGCGCAAGCGACCTTGAATTATTTCAGGCAGGAGGGGGGCAGAAGGCAGATCTGCTGCTCAGAAGAGTCAACCAGTTTGGGATGTATTTTGTTTTCCGGTTTACACCTCAAGGTTCACCAAATATGCAACAGACTCAGACATCATGATTCTTCTGGTTCGGGCAAAAGCTGAGAAATTGGTATGTTGTTTTGAAGGGAGCGTTTGATTTGATAGGGATGTCCTTGTCACATCACTCGCTTGGAGCAAATCAATCAAAGAATGCGAACCCCGCTCTGATCCGACCAGCATTGCATGAGGTCACCCCTATGCAATGTCCGTCTTTGTTCTTCGCCTTCCTCTTCGTCTTCTTCTTCTTCTTCTTCTTTCTTGTTCCTCTTATTATCCTTCTTCTTTATTTTTCCTCGTCTTCTTCTTTGGCGGGTTTGAGTTGAGCAATAAGCCAGCCAACCACAAGCAGAATCATTGCAAGTTCTTGTTTGCAAACCGACTCCTCGCCAACCACCATGTTCAAATCATGAACATGCACATGTAGTTTATCTGAAATCTTTAGGTTTTCCCAAGGGCAACAGGGTTGCAATCAGCCCAACCCGCGCCTTTGGTGGAAGTTTTCCAGACGGCCACTTCCCCAAAACCCTTCGGGTTTCGTTTAGAGCGAGAATAGGGCGGGTTTCGTACTGCGCTCTTTCCACATCCTGCAACTGGTTTGGTCCGAAGCTGTTTTCCCTGTCTCCAACCCGTTTCTGGATTGCTTTTGAGGATGTGGTTCCCAACGGGTGGGGCTTATGAAAAAAACCTTGGGCTCCCCCGTACCCCGAGTGCCAAAAGGGGTGTCAACAGGGCCGAACATACGGGTCGCCATATTCTATCTATCGGACAGGGTAAACTTGCTTCAAGACTTGCTTCAAGCCACCTGGCACCCTCCAAAAATCCATTCAAACAAATACTGTGTAGGTTATTGCAACCCCGAATTGGTGAGTTCCCCTTGGTTTTGTTGGTGTGTGGTTTGAGGGTCAGGGTCCCAGACAGCCCTGGCCCGCTCAGAGCCCTTTTCGCAGCCAGGCAGGGCGTCGGCCGGGCGCTGAGCAAAACCGGCTGGCCGTTTGGGTTGGTTTAATCATCAAAGGGCCAAAGCGAGTGTCCCACTGGGGTGATGTTTGAAGAGGAAATGCAGGGCGCCGGTAAAGAAGGCATCTCTTTGGACACAATGTTTCATTTCCCGGTTCAATCACTATGTGGATCAGAAATAAATCGAATGCTATCTTTGTGAAAACGGCCCAAAACCCTGCCAGAAAAAATGGTTTAACCATTTTGTTTGTTTCGGGAAAACCATGCAACAGAACAACTTTGGAGCCTAGAGGTGGCAAGCACCCACCACACATGGTGTGTCCCAAGAATGTTGCAGTTGCCTCGCATGAAAGTCGGCTCCCCAAACGCTGCTCATGTTCAGTTGAGCGGGTGAAGTCTATTCGGATCAGAATGAAAACCACTACTTTTAGGGTACCCTATTTTGAAACAGTGCAAACCCATGTCTTGTACTTTTCGCCCTCTCGCCGAGGCTTCTCTCACATGAGATACGAGCGGCCTTTGGTGCAGAACACGCCCAAGGCGCCGAGCAGTGCGGAGACGTTGGGCTGAAGAGGGACACAGGGGCGGTGCAATAACTTGGTGGTTCCCAGCCATCCGGTTCCTTAGCTTTTTAGCCCTTCAGTGTTTAGCGGGGATTCCCATTTAACCCACTAAAAGTTAAACTTTCAGCGGGGGATCTGAGGACAGCCCAGATAAGACTCGCAATTGGCAGCATGTGTGGCCAAAGCCGTCCCAACCGTTTTGGCAGCAAAAAAACTAGGTGGCAAGAGAAAGACTCTGGGACAATCTATAGTTTGTTTTGTTCAACTGGGTTTCTCAAAGACAATGAGACATGTTACCTATACCCAGTTGCAACCCCCCCGAGTGGGGTTAAGCTTGTTTCGGGGAAAACAACCGAGTGTCCAAGCACCTGGCTTGACGAAACCCGCCAAGGCCCACGACCCCCATCCCTATAGGCGTTGGTCGCACCTTGCTCATTCAAGACTGGCGAAACCCTTTGAAATGTCTTGCCTGACTTTCTGCCTGCCATGATGTGTTTGTACATGCAGACACTTGGGGCCTTTCGCTTTTCGCGAGTTTTGCTGGAAGTTGAGGCAGCAAACTGCAGGCAAACAAAGTTGGAGTCAACGAAGCGATCCTCACATAGATATTTATGTT